CTATCTTACTTTCGCTTTCTTGAATTATACATTCCTCTTTTTCTACTGTTGCATTTTGAACTTCTTGTCCTAATACATTTGCACTCCTGTATCTTATTATTTATTCTACAATTTCATAGAGATTACCTTACCTTCGTGATTTTCTTTTAGATTATTTTGCAATATCTGATCGACTGGATGCAACTACGTCATGGTCAAATGTCGAAGTACTTGTTGAAAAAGTAAAAGAAATAATTACAACAACCTGTAAAGCTCAAAGTATTCGGCCAAGGCCATACATTGGAGTTCGAGTTGATAATATGTAGTTATTATGTGTATAGTAATTCCCTCTTTTCTCTTTTAGTGTTAATCTTGTGTAATATTTGATTAGATATGATACAGGTGCAAGTATAACTTTCACTTATGGATTTAACTGTCGTAATCTTAATGACCCTCTTGGTGCATTAAAACTTATCGAACAAGCTGCGTTAGCCGAGATATTACGATCAAATGGTTCCGTTTCACATAATACTTCCGGTATAGGAAAAAGAAAAAAAGAAAGTTTTCTGGAATCTCTAAGCGAGGTATTGTTGAAATTTATATGGAACTTTTTTTTTTAAAAAAGAAAATTATCTCGAGTATCTAATGATTTTTTTAAAAAATATTTTTAGCCTGCTGTTAAAGTTTTAAAAAATATAAAAAAGTATGTATTCATAAATTATTAATTTTGCTGAATTTTATGAATTTTAATTCAATTCATTTTTCTTATCTATGTAGAACATTAGATCCAACAAATATATTTTGTAATCAAAATTTAATATAAAATTAATTTTTCTTACATAAAATATAAGAGTGTTTTTTAATAATAATAATGAAAAACGATTTATTCTAATTTAACAACACCTAATTTAGAACATTAACTATAATTATGGATCGCAACCTAATAGTGATCCTTGCAATAATTTCTTGTTATTAGGCATGATGCGACAAATATATCGTGCCGATGACTAGTTTGTCTGGTAGGTCTGACGTATATACAGATTGAACCATATCAGATATTACTGCCAAATAAAACGTTTTAAATACGATATTTACTGATTATTAAAATTTTCGATATTGCATATCGGTAATTGTCGCATCTATTTATATTACATCGCGTAATAAATTATTGGCGATCCTGGCCGATAGTGAAAAAAAAATCGGCTCAACCGGTCGATTTTTTCAAAATCGATTCTATTAATACAGTAATAACGATAAGATTATTTCATTCCTAAAAGTTCCGATGTGGAAAATGACGTTAATTAATGGAAAAATAGGGTCGGAATTAATTCAATATATGATCTAAATTGTATTCTTGATATCTTCACATAAATACTAAAATAAATGCATCAAAAAAGTAACCCTAACCAGCTCCCCGACCTCTTTTATAGTGATAGTAGGAGTTTGTGTAACAATGATTTTCAGATAAACTTACGCAATAAATTTTTATCAATCTGATTACTCACTTACTCACGTATTATATACTCGCTTATTATCATTATTTGCTCTAGTTTTTAACTTTTTTAAAACCTACTTTCACATTGAAATACGCGACACGGAAAAGTAAGTATCGATTATGTTAATGTGTTGCAACTAATACTTTTTTTTAAT